CACCCGTTTATCATACAAATGAATATGATAAAAAGGAAAGCAAAGAATAACAAATGAACGACTTTTTTTGTTGGCTTCAACATACACATTTTGATGTCTTTGTCTATTATGGGGAACGGGAATTAACGAAAAAACCGCACAACAAACGCGCCACTGACTCCTTTTTTGAGGCATGCCCCAGTGTCTCTAGCCATCGGCTATTCTCATACCTTGAATGAGTTGCACCAACCGAAGCCAATGCTGAGGCTAACTTCTTCATACTTCTATGCCAAGTCATGATCTGACCGCCAATGGGCTGCTTCAAGTATTATCTATCACAGTCAAAGAGAGCAGAGAGATAGACGATAGGCAGGCATATTCAGAACATGACTGAGTCATCAGAAGCGGGGTGGAACGATTACTTCTTTAAAAGCGCGACAATGAGCACCCAAGTCACGGCGACGATCACCCGGTGTTCCTAACAGACAAGAGCAATGCATTGCATACAGAAAGTCGATCAACATCTTCAGTCCGCGGAGGCCAGATCTCACAACCGCAGAGCAAAACGTTAAGAAGCACGGATGTCATGGTAGTGCCACAGATGTCGACAGTTATCAAAAACTGTTCCAGCTTCCCCTGCTCGTGATGTGATCGCCTCCTCAATACCACCTGAAAACCATCACGGCGAGAGGGCACTTTGATGGCTTGTGCACCTCTCTGACCCAACGAACTTCACATGATGACTTTTATCAAGCCACAGATCTAATCATGCTTGAAAGGTCGAAGGTCGACAAAGTCCAGTCTCCTGGTCCTCCAGGTTGGGGTTCGACTGGAACACGCATTTCGGTCGGTAAAAAAATGATAATCTATCAAGTAAATAGGCCTCCACTTCGCTTCACCCGGTGCCTTGCGGTTAGGTTATTGTTAGAACTAAAGGCTTTGAACGAGAACCCTAACCGTTCTCCTGCTTAGTGGCTGGACACCCTGGCAGTACCCGTCCATCAAACTCAAATGCATACATGAACAAAAAATAATTCCACACTGCATCGGTCGTCGCACAGGATAATCAGTACCGCGCAGTCCACTGCATTGAGATGGGCGGGTAGTGATAAGTGGGCTACTGCTTGGATATTCGAACCTGTTTGAATCTCTATCTTACGTACCCAATCCTCTCCCTCTATCCCGTATTAGAAAAAACCGCAACATTTCCTCAGAACTTATTCGTCACTTGCCAAAGTTCGTCGTCAAGTAGCCTGGTGAGTAATTTATCACAAACTAGATTACAAACTCTGAAGCCTCGTCAAACACTGAATCTATGGGCTCTTAACGTGAGGACTCTGATGCCGGTAGGTCAACAAGCGTGTCTGGCGCATACAATGGATTCTTGTGATTGATGGCTGCTGCGTATCTTAGACGCGAATCCAGGATCCTAGTACCATTGCAACGAAGTGAGTTGGCTGGAAAAATGTTTATTGATTCAATTCAAAAACAACTAACGTCTGCGTTTAATTATATACAATCAATTCTTAACTACGCGGCAGGATGATTCATACCTCGTTCTGTTGGTCAATCCCTGTTGGTGTTCGTCCGCACTTGGCACGTACGTTGCCTCTTCTTCCACGTGCCGTTCCGACTGGTTTGACCCGAACGTAGAGCGTGATGCGTTGATCGACAGCTCCGACGTTATGGTAGTCGGTGGATATCTTTCTGGCCAGATGCGGATTGTCCGTCGGGCTGTATTTGTCGATTCGTTCGTTTCGAGTGGTAGTCGACATTGTCTCGCGAAGTACTTCCAGTCGCTACGTCTGCGCATCTGGTTGGATGGACCCTATTCTTGATCCCTTCGCTAGCCGGGGATCTCTTTGTACCACCTTCCATCACACTATGAGCCACTTAGGTGCACCGGGGTTGTCTCCGAGATTCTTCCTCTGCACGCGAGGTGATGACGAAGTCCGTTGAGTAGGCCGGCGTGGTGTGGGCACTGAACTGAACAATATAGCCGAAGCCGCACTACTCGATAGGATCCCCGTCAACAGTCGTTTATGTGCGATGCGGCTCCAAGGGGCCATCAGCTTCCCGCAGGGAAGCAACAACAAAAGGTATTTCATCATCATTTCACCGTATGCACCGACCAACTGCAGTTCTGACGCACAAAAGGACGAGTTATGACAAACTCACCGAACTCGTTAGGTTGAGTCGAAGCTCCGATATAGTTGTTCTCGCAGGTGATTTTAAAGTTGGAAAACTGAGCGCATCGGAAGCTTGCTCTGCCCTGCCAGACTTCCTCAGTTCTGCGCAGATCATCATCTGCTCCTATCCAGCACCAACTTCCAACACAGCTCTCAACGGACAGCAACGTGGCGCTCAAATCCAACTGCCACGCCAACTCAGATCGACCACATAGCAGTAAGCTACCGTTGGCGTGGCTCAGTACAAAACTGCAGGTCCTACTGGATTACCTGCGTTGGAACTGATCATGCGTTAGTTTTGATGCAGTTCACTCTCCGACTCACTGGTCGCGGAAAATTCCACCAAACTCGATTGGCAGATCATCGCTTATCTGACCCAGCCGTTCGTGCCCGTTTTGAATCAAGACTAGGGCAAGAGCTAAACGCACTGCAGGGTAGTAGTGTAAATAAACAATGGGATCAGATTAGCCGAACAATGCACTTCGCAGTGAACGTTGCTTATGGATCTGAAGCAGTAGTTCGCCCGAGGCATTGGATATCTGATCAGTCAGTAGCACTGACGGAGAAAAAGCGGCAAATCGCAACCACCCGGAATCAAGGCAGGGTTAGGTGGCGTCTGTGGCGTCAACTCAAGAAGAGATTCAAGAAAAATCGTGAGAACTGTTGGGCAACAACAGCTAGTGAAATGTAAGTGGCAGCTGCATCAGGGAATAGTCAAA